TTCTTACCCGTTTCCTATTATTATATATATTATTTTCTTTATATGTATATATTTTTATCTTAATGTGTTATACAAAAAAGTGGCTTAGTGGCTTGAGCACGTGTTAATCGCGTACACACCTAAAGATTCGCGTATACGCGATTACACGAACTATGTAATTGCGCTACCCACAATCTTAGCATGTCAACGCAAAAAATTAAACATAGACGTAGAATAATATAGCGTAGTCATTGAGAAATAAGCACAAACACTAAAATAATAGCGATTACGCTCTATAAAAATAATATTCAATAGTTAACAAAAAAATTTTAATTCGTTACAATAGATGTGTTAAATCTTGATTTTGTACTTGTTAATAAATTATCTTTGCTTGTGATAGGTCTTTAAGTACAAATCTGGGGCATGGATTTGCCTGTTTCAAAAGTTTATCGAATGTTTCTTATTGGTACCTTCTGGTTTCCAATCAGTTGAGAGGACCATCATTAACTGGGGCACTCACTGAGAATTTTATGAAATCTTGGAGTAAGTTGTTCCTTTGTATTGAAATATTGAAACATCTCACGCGAAGACTTGGATTCTCTGAATGCTCATATCTTAAGATATATCGTGTTTATTTTGATAATATTACCACCTTCGGAACCAGAAAAACCTCCTCTACGACTTTTATTAGAAGTTTCAAGGAAGTTTACTTGGTAGGTATTGAGATATTTGCACTCTAAAATGTAAATTTCGATATGTTAATTAAATCACAATTATGAATTATGTGGGTCATATAGCAAAAGTATTAATGTACTGTATACAAAAAATTTGAGTTACGTTCTTGATGCATTTTTAGAGAAATATTTTTGAACTTTGAACGAAGATATCATAGCAACTACCCGACTAAATTCAATGAATTTTTTTGTTTTGTTTTAATTCTACAGACATGTAGAATTCAAATAAAAAAATTTTCATCGATTTTAGTCAGGCGGTAGTTGAGATATCTTCGCTCAAAGTTAATAACAATTCAAAAACGTCTATCAAACTAAAAGCCGCGCAGAGAAGATATCTCGACGACCACTTACCAAATTCGATGATTTTTTTTATATTTAAATACTACAAATCTGTAGAATTCAAATAAAAATTTTTTTATCAATTTAAATAAGGTAGTTATCGAGATATCTTCACTCAAAGTTTAAAAAAAATTTGGCGCGGCTTTTATTTTGGTAGACGTTTTTGAATTGTTACTAACTTAGAGCGAAGATATCTCAACAATGTATCTGTAGAATTAAAATAAAAAGAAATTTATTGAATTTGGTCAAGTGGTTGTTGAGATATCTTTACTCAAAATTTAGAAAAAATTTGGCGCGGCTTTTAGTTTGATAAACGTTTTTGAATTGTTTACTAACTTTGAGCGAAGATATCTCAACAATAACCTGATTAAAATCAAATAAATTTTTTTATTTAAATTCTACAGATCTGTAGAATTAAAATAAAAAAAAATTTATTGAATTTGGTCGGGTAGTTCCAAGATATCTTCGTTCAAAGTTCAAAAATATTTCACTAAAAGTGCATCAAGAACGTAACTCAAACTTTGTATCATTGTAGATCTATACTTTTGCGTCGGGTGGCGATTTAATCCGTTAGTATGTTGAATCATCAAATTTTCAAAAAATTGTTAAAGACACGACAAATATTTATAGCTTATTATTGTCTGGTAAACCGCTTCCAAAAATTTTATAGCATTTTATCAAAATTTTTATATATTAAATTTAAAAAAAGCCAGCTGGTCAGGCCTGATTCAAAATTTCATTTTAAGAAAACCAAGTAATTAAGCTTAATTAAGTTTGTATGACCTAATAAGAATTAAATCTATTGAAACAATAGCAAAGAACCTTTAAGTTCCTCTAATTATTAAAAATGTACAAAAGCACTACGTAGCAGTCTCAGTTAATAAAGAAAATCAACTAAGACAGTTCATGTTCTCATAATAACAAAATTATTTGCCTTTCCTTGATTCCCAACTATCATTGATACTCACATTCCACTTGATTAAATGAAATGCTATCGTATTGTACCCAACCTAAAGTTACGACTGGAGCTAAATCACACATACATTGTGTGTTGCTCTCCCAACCAGTCGTAGGATTTATCGGGATATCAGATTTTCGACTTTATTTCGGAATTTATGACTATTATAAAACTGAAATTTAGAATATAGCGCAATGCGTGTTACGTTTCTAGTAAACTAGGAGAAATTCACTTAGTAAACGCTAATTTTGTTATATTCAAATTTATATTCACTTATCTCTTTACTTTAATGAAAGAATTGTAATATGTTTGAAGCAAGCATAAAAATTATTTTTCTTTTTTTCGAAATATTTCTGTCTTCAAAAATTTAAGCTTCGGAATAAAATTTCGGATTAGTATTTCTTGAAACTAGTTTCGGATGGATTTCAGGTCACATGTATAATGTATACCAATCTAATATCGTTTAACTGTTTTAGTTAAACGATGTCACTTTGAGAAAAATGAAAGAATCATTTTGTACCTTTTTTTCACGTTATTAACGTATATAATTAATGAAAATTTTAAATTAAACTCACGTGCTGACAAAATTCATGCTTTTTATAGATATATATTAAAAGTTTGCGCGAAAATGGGCTAATATTCAAAGCCTAAAACACTATCCCTTTTAGAATATAACACTTTATGCCTTCTAAAAAAAAAAAACAAAATGATTTTTTATTTGAAATAAAGGGAAATGAAAAAACTGTACAATCTACATACGTACGTAAGTGATAACTGAGACACGTAAATTGATATGATATGAAATACCAAATAAGGAAAAAACATAAAGAAAAAAAACGCAGCGGCATAACATACGTAGTCATCTGTACTAATATATATAATAAATGATAATAAATGATTATGTTCACGAGAAAGAATGAACTATCACAATATTTTAATCAAAGTTCGATAGCTTTTATTCAAGTATAGGGAGACTTTATGCATTATGTATGTATAGTTCTATCAGTGTTTAAAATCTATATGCGGAATCTGCGGAACGCAGATTAAAAATTGGTTCCGCAAAAATATTATTTCAAGCCCGCATATGAAAAAATTTTTTACTCAATAAAAATAATTTATTAAGAAAAAAAAAATTTGAACCCGCAATTTTTGACATAAATTCCGCAACTTTTATTAAAATTAAATATGTAATCTGCATACAATTTTAAACACTGGGTACTATACAGTTCTAACTGTAGTAGTATACGCACTGTGCTAGTCAAACCATTTACCCGGTCGGAAGGTAGTGTGTAGCACACTGGGCTAAATAACTCAATTACAAATTAATTATAGAATGTACGCAAAAAAAAGCATTAAAGTTATTTACAAAATATTGAAATTTTATCCATCAAAAATTAATTATGTATAGATCCCAAATATAATAATGAATGAATGATCTATCACATATTAAGCTTAAGAAATTTATTATTGCTTAGAAATATGGAATCTTAAAGTTAAATTTATGACAATTTAGGAAATAATACAAGAAAAATAATATTATTTAATATATTTTTGATAATAAATGAAAAAATTATTTAGCATACTTCTTTCTATTTTTAGGAAGAGATGGTCTCGTGTGAATTTTTTGATGACGTTGAAGATTACTAGCAACTGAGAAACAACGACCACATCCTTCGAAAGTGCATTTGAATGGCTTTGTACCAGTGTGTGTGTAAATATGAGTTTTTAACTGACTTGGCCGAACAAATAATTTTTGACAATGGTCACACTTATATTTTTTCGGTTTAATAGTTAAATCTTTTGAACTATAAGCACTTGTTGAAGATTGTGATGCAAGAACCGGTTGTTGAATTCGTAGAATTTGGTTAGGCATCGATGATTTTAATGATATATTACTATTACTTTCTAATGTTGGCATTGAATATTGTTCAGTTAAATTTGGATTCTTGTATAATAAAGAATATGAAATTCCTTCTTCGTCGTATGGATACATTCTATTTTGATTGTAATTCATGATATACGAGGAACGATAGCTTGACTGGAAATCAATAGCATTTGTATTTTGGTCAGATAACTTCATCGCAGTAGAATCTGTATAGAACATGGGAACCATGGAAACCCCTTCTACTGATTTATTGTAAACATTTTAAAGTTAATTATTTAGAAAGTAATATGCGTAATAATTGCCAAAATGAAAAGTAAGAATACCGTTAGGAATAAAAGGCATTGAAGAAAGCACCATTGGTGCCGAATTCTCTTCAAAATCATAAAATATTGATTCATTATTTCCATTAAAGAAAAATGAATTGGGAAACATAATTATTTGCACTCAAAGGTGATAAACGTAGATACGTGTATCTACTGAAGAAATTTTATAAATTTAACTCAGCAAAATTACACGAGCTATTTATTAAAAAAATAGTATAATTTTAATTAAAATGAACATACCAAATTTGTAAGTTTTTAAATATACTGCATGCTCATTCATATAAATGCATTGTGTATTAATAGTAGTACGACGTACGTACGTACTGTACAGTACATACGTACGTCTTTCAAAATCAGCCATAGTAATCATCAAAAACAATCCTTTATAATTATTCTTTTCGCGTATTTTCATTGTACCTCGTGTTTATGGATTAGTGGAGTTCCATCTGGAATTTTCTTCACATGGTGCCTTGTATCTAAAAGTTTCTTTATGCTATGTATATCTTTAGTCACAAGGTATGAATTCATAAAGCTTTATATCCAAAGAAACAAAGTACCCTAGATTTCTATGTGCATTTACGTCATTATTATAAAAAAGCCGGACATTAATGAAAAGAAGAGACTCAAAAGATTAACAATTTATTCAGCAAAATTCAGCAAATTAAATATTTTAGACTTTATCAATTTCGAAATTAAGCCATGGTGTTATGACCAGTGTTGGAAATTAGTGTTCTCAGAGTTCTCATGAGAACACAAGTTTGTGAGTGAGAACAGAAAATTTAAAATTTTTTATATTAGAGAACACCTAAAAATTAACTCTAAAAATATTAAATAGAAGGTGAGAACAGTAGTTCAGTCCCAGATTTCCAACACTGGTTATGACACTACATTAACACCCTCTTTGTATGATAATAATCCTGAGCTCGAGGAGGCTTAGTGCTAAATTCTATCTCTACAACTGCACCTCTTTTTTTTTTGTTGTCTTTTTACTATAATCTTTAAAAGGATGCATTTTAGAGAAATCCACCTACAATATAATTCTTTAAGTATATATATATATATGCTGATTCCCATATAGATAGAAGGCAGTTTTTAGACAGATTTTATCATTAATAGGTTTTTAGTGTGTTACTGCATACTAGTTCATTTTGAGTAATCGAGCTAAAATTGCTGCATAAACATGTATAATTTTCCCTATATATTTATGTATTTCCTTTTTCCTCTAATGTTTAGAAAAAAAAAAAAGTATGTTCCGAAATACACGATTGAGTGAAGCTTCAAGGTATTGATTAATTTTAGTAGAAGTGACCACTCTATAATCAATTGATTACTAAATATCAAATTGCAGGTAAAAATAAATTTGAGTTATAGTTACAGGATTCGAATTTGAATTTACACGCGTGCACAATTTATTGTTTCGATAGTTTATATATTGATTTTATTTTTCATGCCTCTAATAATTACAATATCTTTCAATAGCTTGATATAAATAAGTTTCCCTGATCAAAAAAAAAGAAAAAAAAAAAAAAAAAATCATATATAGGCTTTATTTGATGTTCGATTCTTCAATTTTTTCATGCAAGCAAAGATCCCGAAATTCTTAGTCCAGAACAACTAAATAAACGCAGAAAATAACGTAAAATCTAATACGACAACCAACTTTCGACCTCTTGATAAAAGCTTTAGTTACAGCGCGCGCTTATATGGTTTAAATATAAAGATATACTACAGACTCATTAGAGGTGAATCGGAACCAAGAGTTTCTTTACATTAGTGCTTGGATCCGTGGATATCCGACCGTTTTTTATTTCAATCCACTGGATTTTTATGGATTTTTATATCCGGTCTAATGATGCCTCTCGAAACTATTTTGGTGTGTCGAAACTGTTTCGATAAATCCCATAGTATCGAAATATCGATAT